CTTAGATTTCTTGTACTGATGGCCAGTAATGGCTAAAACATCGGTCCGTGGTGTACGCTAATAACAACAGAAACGATTTAAATGAGACTTAAACGGAATGATGAGTCTAAATAATAAATAAAAACAGTGACAACTCACGTCGTGCAGAGACTACATGAACATCGGAGGGACCTGGACATAGCGGTAGATGTAAAGGCGATAGTCTTTGCTGGACAGCACGATTGAGCCGTCGTCGAGCAGGGCGACGTCGAAGCACTGCGCGTGCTTCACCTTCGACTCGAGCGCATTCACCAGCGTGCCGTCTTGCTGGAATATTGTGAGGTTGAAGTTGTTGTGATTGTCGGCAATGATGATTTCGCCGAGGTGGTTGATACCGACGCCGATCGGGTAGTTCGTGAGGCCCTCGCCGCCGATCTGGCGCATGTACACGCCGTCGTAGTTGAATACCTTGACGCAATGGGCGCGATTGTCGGACACGAATATTTCTTGCTTGTCGTTGGTCACGACGCCGTTCGGAAACTCCAGGTACTTCGAGCAACTGAACTTCTGAAGCACGTTGCCGAACATGTCCAGGATGATGACGCGCATCACCTTGCACTCGACCACCACGATGCGTCCCTTCGAGTCAACGGTCACACCGCGCGGGTGCTGTAGCACGTTTGCGCCGAACTTACGCAAGAACTGACCGTATTGGTTGTACACCTGGATCTGGTGCGTTGGACTGCGTTCGGTAACGACGATGTCGCCGGTTACTCGGTTCACAGCCACCCTACAACACCGGGTCTGAATTAGAACGAACGACAACACAGTGTACGCAGACGCTATACCTGTTTGGATACAACAACTGACCGTCCCTCTTGCCACATTCTCCGAACTGAAACTTGAACCGGCCCTCTTTGTCGAATATCTGAATGCGATGGTTGTTCGTATCAGCCACAATTATGTCTCCCTGCGCATTGACCGCTACGCCGCTCGGTTCCGTGAACTGTCCCTCCATCACCCCGAACTCCCCGAATTTACAATGATAGATCATCTTGTGGCGCTTGATCTGTGCCTTCGGTGGAAAGAACATGACCGGGTTGTTGATCAGCTTCGCGTTCAACTCGACCACCTGTGGCGAGTTGCCGCTGTGGTCGGCCGGTATTGACATCGGCCCGTACATATTTTCAGCGGACATCATGCTCTGCACGGACGGCGTCAAGCCGCTGCCGTTTTGGCTGTACAGCTCCGTGCTGGCGTTTGACCATTTCTCATAGTTATAGTCAGTGCCAAGGGTTGAAAACGGCCCGAGGCTCTGTGACGAATCGCCATACTGTTTACTCTGAAGCAAGTTAGAATCACTGTACGCATGGGCTGACTGGCAATAAACATTTACTAATGCTGCGGCGTTCTCGTTGGCGGCGGCGTTTATTTGCGACAATGTGTCAGTACCCGTCGTCAACGACGGTAATAAGTGGTTTGTTACAGAGAGAGACAAACTTGCATTCATGGGATTAACGGGGCTCTGAGCATTTGGCTGTCCTCCATTGGAAATGCTTCCGGGAATTAAAGGGCGTGAGATGGGAGGGAGCTAAAAAAGAGTCACTTTATATTAATCAACATAGCGAAATAAATGTCAAATATATGTCGAAATGACCCCCAGACAAAATCCGTCATCATTACATAATCGAATAATCGTTATATCATCTCTAATCAGAGGGGGCAGTGGTGCAATTGTAAGCTGTTTTGCACATTAGAGTGCGGGCGGCTAACACGTAGTGCAGCGTGAATTTTCTCTCATTAATCCCTAATATCCTTCAGCAAGTAATTCGCCTCCCTTTCCTTCAATGCAACCAGCCGAAAAAAAGGGTAGTAGGTCGTTGACTTGCTAATCCCTAGGACAACATGACGCTTTGGCGTGGTCATGCCAAAGTGTGAGAGACATACTGCCATTCTGCCTGATGCGTGTG